GAAATGTTGTTTTGGTCTTCAGAGGTCAGATTTTTCAATTCCAGGCCTGTCAGGTAGCTGGGAAATGTTTTGAAAACCTTGCTGTAGGTGTCTTCTAGCTTGGATAAAAATCTGGGACAAAGTGATCAATTTGAAAATGAATTCTACATAATGTTCTGTGAAGACTGGACCTGGAATGAAATATTCCCGCATATAATAAATAAATCATAAAAAATATTGAAAGCAATAACGATATAAAACCATTGCAATTGCTATAAAAACCTTTAGACACTGCTAGAGAGCCTTTACCTACTGTTAGGCATTGAACAAAAACCTCAGAGTTGCCTTCTGGTGTGAAAGAAAGGAGCACTGATAAGAAACTGATAAGAAACTGATTGATTACCCCTTCTGAGTCAATGATTGACAGCTAGAAGGCGGGCGGAATGCACCTGAGGCTTCCAGAGGAAGTCTCACCCCCTCAGGGCTCTGAATGGCTGAAAATACAACGAATGATGGCCCTTTTGACCAATCAGATCTCCTTATTTCGGTTGTCCTGTTCAAATAACTATTACAAAGTCAATAACGTTTTGTGGATATATATCATGCTTCAGAATAAGGTAAAAACATGGAATATATATATATAATTTTTGCTTTTGCGGTCTTGTTTTGCCGGTTTATTGATTGCCTTATCGATGCATTTTGGAAGTTTGAAAGTGCATCATCAGATAAAAAGTGACTTTGTGATCGAATGTCATGTTTAAAAAAAACAACGTTTTTTTAAGCGACGGTTGTCCTTTTTCGATTGATAACATGTTTTTGTGGTTTTGTTGGTAAAGAACGATTAAATATGATGCAGGAATCAAAAATAAATATTGATTTACAGCGTGGACGCTTGCGACTACGCCAAGCACAGGACACGTTTGATTACACGAACGTTTTTTTTTATTTTCGGTTCGGAAAACGGTTTTGTGAAGCTCTAGTTGAACCTTTTTCGACTGATAAAAGGTTTTCTGTAAAGGTTTTGTGGTTTTGGTGTTGTAAAACGATTAAGTGAGATGCTCCTTTTAAGTCAAGTTTCTTAGATAGTAGCCGCATGCTGCCACGTTTAATAAAGGTTTAATAAACACACTGACTGGACACTCCAGTACAT